TTATAATAATAATGTTTTACACTAAGTTACTTAAAATAAACAAAGTGTAGTAAATTTTTATTATTATCAATATTTGCTATAACATTTCATTTAACATAATTGCTATTAACATTTTATATATAATAATAAATATTATGAATTTTTAAATATAATAGCAGAAATGTCAATATCCCTTCCCTTCTTTCCAAATTAAAATTGATAAAGTATCATGTCCAGGGTACATGTTAAGGTCTGTTGAATGGCATTTAATTTGCATTGACTTTTCTCTGAATAATAAAAGGTTATCTTTTAGCGGTTATTTTAGTTCCAATTTATGTAATCTTTGTTGTTGTTATTGATTTAAAATTTTTGTAATCTATCCATGAAACTCATTGAACCAGTTATACCAAGTAGGATATGATATTTTTCCAATGGGCATAATACTAACAGCATTATATTATTAACTGAACAAATGCATATTTAAATTGTCCAGGAGAGTATAGTTTTTGGTACATATTTGGTCATTTTAAAGTTTTATTATATCTGAAAAAAGCCATTAAATATGAAATGTTGAATATATAGAAATGAAATTATCATTGATAATCAGGAAATTTTTATGTGTAAGATATATTCAAGTGTATAGTTTTTATGAAAAAAATGTCAGCTACATTTTTATCAAACTGCATTTAATGAAAGCCATGTATTCGGAAAAAGATACATATCTCTTATTGCTTTTATTTTTCCTAAAAGCATTAAGCATTTCCTAAAAGCATAGGCTGAAAAAAATAAGCGTTAATTTATTCTTAAAATTTGCCTTGTAGATGTTTAATCTTTCAGCATATAATATTAAATAGTATGAATTTTTTAGATAAAAGTAATGATTTCTATATTTTTCAAGGAATTTAAAATTATTCCTATTAATTTTTCGTTGCAGTACTTACTGTAATTTAAAATCCCATGATATTAAAGTCATATAATTTGAGAAAATTAATATAATCTGCCTTATTTAAAGAACAGCTTCTCAGTTTCTTACTTAGTTTATCATATATAATAATGGGAATTTCAATTTATGAATAGAAATTAAAAGTGGGGGTGATTTGTTAAAAATATATCTGATGCATATACCGGGTGGTTATAATTAAACTTCCTTTATAAATGGCATTCTTACAGTGCAAACTGTAGATGCAACTAAATTTTTTTAACTGAATGCAACTAAATTTTGTATATGGGCTATACACGAGATGTGCTCACGGAATTTTGAAAAATAATTTTTAGTTCTGAAATGCCCTAACATGAAGTTCAACACAGTAACCAACTGAAATGAAATACAGAAACAATACAGTCAAAAGTCTTTAATCCGGACTCGTCGGGATTTCGGCGATTCCGGATTATAGATCATCAGTTTAAATTTGGTAAGATTGCATGCAGAAATTATAAAATTAAAAATATGAAACCATAATTTATGAAATAAAGAACAATTATGATCTAAAGGGTATCAGAATTTGCAAAAAAAAAAAAGCTTAAAATTTATTTGTTTACTTTATTAAACATTTCTTTCAACACGCGCATGCGTACAGCATACATTACGCATAGTCCAAATTAGAAAATTGCAACCAGAAAACTATTTGATGTGTATTCGTGGTATTTATAATGAATTTGATTTAAATCATATCAAAGACAGAGTATATTGAGATGAAATACTGCATTTAGTAATGAATTATAAGCCAAATAAAATAAAAACAGCTGCCCTGAAGATAAGGATAGTGCTGACAGATCAACTTCCAGTTCGTTGCACACCGCGATGTTCCCCTTCCCCGCAGAGCAGCGTGAAATTGATAAACAGATTTTGGACTGGTTAGAGAAACAAAGGATATGCCTTTATCCATTTTTTGCAGCAATTCCACTTTTTGTTTGATGGACATCGAAACATGCTTTCGCTTTGTAGATATCCTTTGGCAACTCTAAAATCGTAAATTCTTTTTGACATAATCGAAAGTTAATGCAAGTTCAAGCTTACTTTTATAAAATTGCTCTAACAGTCTGCAAAATATAATAAGCCAGATCCAATTCGAAGATTAAGGAACAATGCAATCTGCAACATTAACTGAAATAGATAATTAGATAATTTTAGCTTAGCTTATACCGTCCGTTATACATTAACTGCGCATGCGAAAAACTGATTATGCGCATGCGTGAAGGTATTACGCATTGACGCATGCGCAGAAAGTTTGTAGCTTTGAGGTCCGGATTAACGACCTTTGACTGTATTAACAACCTTTGACTGTATTAACAATCCAGAACAGTTATGAGTAATAAAATGCAAAACCAGGAAAAGCTGTCAGTTGTAAGAGAAAATTGTCGAGGTTTGCATGCTTGGGGAGAAGAGGAAGTTTATGCAAAACAGGTTAGGGTAGAAAACGTTTGCTGATGTTCTCATGTTTAAGTCGATGTTTCCGGCTCTACTAATGACGGTCTCTTTAGCTGAGTATGCGTTATTGGTGAAGCTGTTTCACAAAAACAAAGGGAATCCTTGAGCCGCAGTTCTGAATTTCATTCATAGAATGGTCATTCATGGTCGTTTATAGTGTTAAATTTTTGTTTTTTTCGAAAAGGTGCCCTCTGGTGGACAGTTTGGAACTAAATTTTTTTTTTTTTTTCATAATTCTAAGAGCTCATCTCTTGTATAGCCCATATTCAAAACTTTGTTGCATTCTGTTCACTCATGTGCACTGTAGGATGCCTTTTATAGGGGAAATTTAATTATAACCACCCAGTATATCTACTTTTTCATATATGACTACTCCATACGCATGGAAAGTGATATATTCACATTTTATTGTAGTGTGCATATAATATATGCATGCATTAATAGAAAAAACATGGTACTAGTGAAAATGTATGCAGATTTTGCAAAAGATGCATGTATAGATGCAGTAATTTTAAGATTTACATGAATTCTTACAAAAGTTATACATTTGTGTGAAATAAAAAGTCATTTACATAATTTTTTACAAAAAATATATATTTATACACTGTAAAAATTGGGGAAACTTGTGCGAATTTGTACCAAAAATATACGTACATAAATCCCTGAAATAAATACTATATGTAAAATCCATAAATAAAGCATAAACATTCATATGAATATACCTGAATTTATGTATATTTTAATTTAAAAATATATAAAATGCCTGTTATTTTCTTACTTGATACAAATTCCGCACAAAAAGTATGTGCAATTTATGAATGCATCCTGTCTGGGTATATGTGATGATCTGCATAGAAAAGTTGAAGGTAGATGATGCATCATACTTGAAGTAACTTGTAAACATGGTGGATTTAAATATCTCATTTATTTTAACTAAACATTTTGCAGCTACAAATTTCTGGGCACACTAAATGTGCCCATTCTAGAACATAAGATATACTTTTTAGATAGCTTTGTGATAAGATGACAGCAGCAGTCTAGCTGTGCTGAAAAGAGGAAGCTAAGTGCCTTGTGTTCAGGATGAAGCCTTAATTCAGAATTGGTTAGTTTCAGTTTCAATACCATTTGACTGAATAATTAATAAAGCTGTAAAATTATTATTAGCTGTTTTCAGTTTTATTGCAAAACCTTTACATCACCAGCATTAGGTAAAAGTTGTATGATATGGATGAATCTAGAAATGACACAGTCCAGATAAAGTTATTATAAGCAATTATTATTTTTAAAATAAAGAAGGAAATACCTAAATCGAAATGAAGAATCAAGGGACTATTGCTAATTGAAGTTCTTTAATATCTTAGAAGTAATTTTTATTTGGATATTTTTACACATATATATATAATTTAACAAATACAATGTATCTTATTCATATAAAGCAAATTAAATGTTTTATTTATGTAAATTCAGTTGCAGTCAAATAAAATTATTACTGCTGTGAACTAATTTGCGTTCTTTAACTTACTAATTAGTTTCTAATCAAACAATATATAAGATTTAATAAAATACGATAGCTGCTTTAAAATATAATTGGCGACCTCAAAATTAACATTCTAGGTTTGGTGATTTCCCCATAAATTCATCTGTTTTTCCCAAATTCAAGATCATACCAAATTACATAACATTGTTTAAAAAAAAGGTAACTAAAACTAATATTGACCAATCATAGCTTAGAATACGTTCTACAACTACGAAATATAAATACTGAGTCACTTCCCTTTTTTCCCTGACTTCTGCCATGCAAACAACTCTATGCTGCTTATGCTTACCTGCCTAAAATGAGATCGTAGCTTTTTATCTGTGTATATCAAAATTATTTGTATTCAACTATGATCGAAAAGTAATTTGTCTGTCAAAGAAATAATTTTTGATGTGCCTAAAAATAAAGATGGTGATTTGCCAAATTCAGTTTTGTCAACCTCATATTCCTGCCTTATCCACCCAGCCATGTCTACAGCCAGAAATTAAGAGTATTGGATTCATGACTGTGCACTTTGTATACTGCATATATATATAAATGAAATCATTCCGGTTTTGTAGATTAAGTTTAATATATTTTCCTATTGTTTTGATAATTTCCTCATATGTTTTTCTCTGATGTTTTTGTCATCTATCAATCAAATGACCCAGCATCCTTCTCCCTCTGCCACCCCTTCAGAAGGTTAATGCATTTTGTCATTCACATCAAAACTCAAGCATAATATTTAGTATTAAAAATTGCTTAAAATAATCTTATGTACTTGTGTGTTTCATATTCTTTATCAAATATTCCTTAAACTGTTGTTCAAGAAATATTTTTGAACTAAGAATTTTTTTAATGAAATCATATTTCAATGTCACACAATTATACAATTTAAATGCTGCAAAGAGTGATGAAAATTTTGTGGTGAAACCTCTTTGTCATTCAGTTAAGATGTTAACATTCTTTTTCAAATACCATGTGCAAAAAAAATTTCATCCGTTAAGGAAAATGTATGTACCGAGATTTAAGATATGTTTTTGCTGTATGCTAAATTTATAATCCTCTATCTTACAGGTGTCAATAGATGCATTATTTCCAAATTTATTTGGAAATACTATTGAGGAAGTATCCCTTTCCTTGATGTATACAGGTAGTAAATTTTCTAGAGAGGCTCACGTTCAACTTCCGCCAATGGAAATAGTTACTTTAAAATTAAGCCAAAGATGACCCTAAGTGCCTATATATGTATATATAAAATCTGTGTGATAATTGGACTTGAATATTATCTGTTTGGGAATTAAAAATATCTTAACTGAGACGTGGTTATTACTTATTATAAAATATATGATTAATACTGAATTTTATAACTTCTTTCACTTAGAATGCTGTGTAGCATTATAATTTTTATGAAACAAATTTCTAGTCATGCATAATTTATAATTTTTTAATGACTGTTTGTTTTGTGACACTCAGATATGTTAAATATTTTGATTGTAAATATTTATTTCTAAAGACTATGGTGCACGAGTTGAAGAACTTGTTTGTTGAAATTCTTCTGTTGGCAGATGTGTCCTTGGATTACCAACAGAAAATATATTTCTTTTTTCCTCCAGTTTTTAGGAATATCTGAAGGCATACAATTTCCGGTTTTATTTTGCCATTTCTTTTACTTCAGGTTGGTCATATTGCATTGTATTAAAAGAGAAGTATGTATTTTAAGTTAAAAAGTTTAAACAGTTAAGGATAACCAAATTAACTGTAATAGAAGTTTAGAAGTTTTTCATAACACCACTATTGGTATTTAATGAAAATTTTGATAAAATCTCAATGTGATGAACTACAGTACATATTTTACAAAGGTATTTTTATTTTCATTGTTTAAATCAAAGAACTGTGACTTGTCAATGGCTGGTTTCTTCTTTCTATTTCTACCTTCCTCCCAATTTATTCTAAATATTGTGTTAATACTGTACCTTTCACTAAATGTGATGACAGATTTCCTGTAATATTGATAAGATTTTAATTAATACTCTCTTAACCATAAAGAATGCATATTATTATCAGCATTAATTTCATGAGTTTAAAATTAATTTCTTCATTGTAAAATGAAATATGCTCGATACTTCCAAGCAAGCAAATACCAGCTAGTAAGAAATCAGTCATTAACCCTCTGGCTGCTCATCCCGCGATTTCCACGAGCAACTCAAATGTAGCAAAATCTGCTCATCCCGCGATTTCCACGAGCAACTCAAATGTAGCAAAATCTGCTCATCCTGCGATTTCCGCAGGTATGTGTTTTTCTTCCTTTATTGAGGAGCGCATCCCGTTTTTTCCCCGTTTAACCACTGAAATAAATTATATACAGTAGTAGACGTTTAGTTTACGTTTTGGCCAATAGATATCGTTAATTGTGCACTGAATTGCAGCATTTGAAGGCACTTGGTATTACCGCTCAAACTCCACTTTCTGCCGCTTTTTTCTTACAGAAATGGCTGCTAGAAAACATTCAGCGATTTTCTCAATTCTTTAATTAAATTATTGAATTATTAATTAGATTAATAATTACACTGATTATTAATTAGATTTATTGAATCTGGTGCAAGGACCGTGAAGTTGGACTTTGCCTTGAACCTTGTTTTGAACTCTGTCATACTAAACTGCATTTCTAAGATATTTTTACCTCAGTGCTTTATGCTTTCATAAATTTTGTATATTTTACTTTTTTACATTATGCAGTAAATAGAAATTAACTGCAATTCGCCTGAAATTTATTTAAAAAAAAATTTTTTTGGTGGTAACATCTGAAATTGGTTTGTCTGGCAACTTAATTTCTCATGACAAAAATCTATATAAAAAAATATTTTCTAGAAGGAAAAATGCATTTTTCATTTCTCCAATACCTATAGATTTAAAATATGCAAAAAAAAAATTACTCAATTTTTGAAGCGATTTTGGTCAACAAAGTCAGAGCCAAAGTGTCAACAAAGTTGAGCAATTAGAGGGTTAAAACGTGGTTAGGATGAATGTCAATTAAGACTTCTAATCAGTAAGCATTGCTTACAGAATGCTGAGTTGTAGGTTGTCAGTTATTGAAGCTTTAAAATATTAATATTTGTAATGAATTTTCATCCAAATAGGAAAGAATCGTTGAATATGCATTTTTACTTTGTGATTTTGTTTTTATAACTTTAGTAGTTTAATCTGTTTCTCATTTTTCTTATGACTGACTCCTTATGTTATGTCTGTGTGGAGAAATCAGCTATGTATCGTTCAGAGCAGTGGTCTTCAAACATTGTTGATTTGAGAAACCATTTTAAACTACTGCATTTTTTTGTAGAAACCTGTATCATTTGCAGGAAAGCAAGTGCTAGAACAGCAATACAAACTATCAATGTTGCATGCGAACTATAGAAATGAAAACAAAATCATTATTATATTCAATAACATTTTTGTTTTTATTCAAGTATTAATATAAATAAAGAACATATTATTGAATTTTTCTAAAGCTTTGCAATTCCTATAAAATCTCCATTTCAAATTTTGGTTTTGACTTGTGGAACTGGATGGAATCTCAAGATTTTATGGAACACTGTTTGAAGACTACTACTGTAAATAAATCCAGTACTAAAGTTTTCAGCACTGATAACTGATTACAAAATATGAGATATTTTGCAAAATGTAGAATACTGAGATTTCTCTCTAAATATAGCATAATGCTAAACATAGATAAGCAAATTTATTCTGTTGTTATAAAATGTTTTTACTATGAAAGTCTGAAAAAATTGTCTGTTGAAAAAATTGGCTAAGTAAGAAAAGAATCTAAATGTCCAGCATGTTTGTAATGTGTTAGTGTAGTACATTAACTGGATTTATATCTATATATATGGATTGCCAAAATGGGAGATAAATTTCATTGTGATCAAATTTTACTCATTCAAATTTGTATGCATTAAAGTATTTTTGTATTTTTACTGTTGTAATATCAAAAAAAAAAAAAAATCAGTGATACTCTTTCTGCATTTCTATAAGCAGAAAAATATTACATCTGTGTCAAATTATAGAGGGGGGAAAAGTAAATAATGAAATAAGTCCATGAAGAAATTTTGTAGCAGAGTTAAAAATGATTAATTTACACGTAAAGAATATTATATAGTTATTGTGCACATCATGATGTGATATTAATGTTTGTTGTCCCATTCGTAAACCTGCAGCATATTTTATTTAAGATTTCTAATCGAGTAAATAAATAAATAGTTTTATTATCCATTGTTTGTGCATAAAGCATCTGAATGATAGGTAAAATTACTTTTTAAAGCAATTTATAAATTCATGATTCAGTACATCTACATCCCTTATTCCCAGACATTCAAAATACCAAAATCCATTGTCTAGAAATCTGCAGTCAGTCAACGAGTTACTGAAAGTACTTTTTTTAAAAACTTTTATGTAATAAAATTCTAAATGTGAAATAATCAAATATTTTGTTAAAACACTTTTTTTGTACTTGAACCTATGTTGCACAAGATAATGTTTAATTCATTGTGGAACTGATATTGCATTTATTGTTGATGTTGATTGCACTCGTCTACTTTTGTAACTCCTTTAAATTGTCCTAATACATGAATATACAACTCTACCATACTTATCATTGTTTTAAATATTCCAAGATTTTATTATTTTCACCTGGGTAATCAATAAAATGTATTACCTTCATCAACAGTTTAACCGTTTTCTTTTGACCCCTATTACTTGTTTCAGCACCCCACAGTGTCTCTTCTAAATAACATTTAAATATTGTCCCTAGTCTTCAATAAACTAAATTAAAATTCCTCTTCGTTAGAAGTATGAAAGTTAAATGATTAGTTTTTTAATATAGAATTTCAAATCTTCATTTACCGCTAATAACTGCCTGTTTGTCATGTTAAAAATTGACTGCGGATTACCTCTCCCAGAAAATCAGAAGATTAATGTGGAATTACTCATCATAATACCAAATTCGCACAGCACTTGTAATACAATGCTAAAGGGCATAATTGGTTATTGTGGTTAATTTATTGATGTGGTTGATTGTTGGATTGCTGGCAGAGTGCATAGTCATTTTGTTTCATTGTGGGGGATGTTGGGGAACATCATGATATGCATAACATCATTATTCCCCTATAGTATTGAGCTGCTTTGTCCTAATCACTTCTAAGTCACCATTTACAGACCATATCATGTCACCATGGAACCTTATCGGGTTTGGTCATGCTATCTATATTTGGTCATTGAATCAATTGTTGCTCTTTGAATTTATTAATGACAGTGTTTACATATAGATTACACCATTGTAGACCTCTATTGCTTTTCTACTTGTTTTAAGGCTCTATCTCAAATCTTTCTTAGAGCATAATGCCTCAAATAATCGAGCTCAAAGTGCACTTCTAGCTCCAACACTGAGGAAAACTTGCCTTTAGTGGTGAATGAAGTCACTGCAAATTAAGCATCTGAAAGCTTTGAATTTTTCATTCAAGCATTTGACAATGAAAACTAATGCTCTTACAATCAATCCAGAGCAAATGTAATAACCTTCTGAAGGATTGCCTAAACCTCTTTTTTTTCGCCTGTCATCATTAAAGATGAAATTTTTAATCAGCAGCAATCTTGTAATGTATGAGTTGGTAAAAATACCATCTTGCAATTTAGTAATTTGATTATATATTAAATTTTTCCAAAGTTAACTTTGTTTGCTAAGCCTTTTGCCTACCTTGACAAAATAAGATATCTCCTGTAATTCAGTTTGAAATTACTACAACTGCTGTTCCTTGCCCTTTTCTATTAACATAGCTAATAAATATGAAGCTTTTAAATGACACTATTTTTAGCATTTCTTAAAGGAGATCCACCTAGTTCTTCATACTGTTAATGGAAAAATCTTGCTTGTCCTATGCTCTGCATCATGCACAATATTCTTGATACCTGGGATATAACAATAAGACCCATTATTATATTATGCCTCCGCACCAAAGATGTTGGACAGAGGGTAAGTAGGATTGACTCGCTGAATATTATCTGTCACCTGAAGCTTTCCTCTGTACAAAATTGTACAAAAAATTGATTTCCTCTGTACAAAAGGCTCCATTCATGCGCTTTGTTCTTAATCCTAAATTTCAGGACGAGTGTCCCATATACACATTCTCTACAAATGTCTCTCACAGCCGGGCATTCCACCTGCGCATCATTGAAGAACTAATGCAAGAGATGGGTGATACATATATGCATTTTAAGCAGAAACGTGTTTCAAAGACTACTGGATGGCATCCCGTGTCCATTATTTTTTAACTAAATATAATTTTAGGGTCCTGAACTTTAGTTTGATCACATTCTGCATAGCTTTGGTGTCAGCTGTTGTGGGGATAGAGGCAAACATTTGTGTTTCTGATATCACTTCAAATTCTTTTTTAGCCCCCCGCCTTTTTTTTTTTTTTTTTTTTTCCTACTATGTAGGGTCCTTTAGGGTTACTATGTTGACTTTTATTGCATTTTGCATCACTTTTATCACTTATATTTTACTTACTTCCCTTTTTTTATTTTGAAAAGCCTTCAGTTTATTATGGCGAGGAAGTGTTATTTTTATTTATAACTGGAAGGATATATTGGCATGGTAAATGTTCCAGTTAGTGACACGGATGAGAGTGATGATTCATTTTTAGAGAGTGATATTTCTCGTGATTCTCATACGGACATTTTGTCAGAGATTCAGCTGATAGAATATGATAAAATGTCCTGGTGAAGCTACTGAAAGTCAGCTTTCTACTTCGCATGAAAGATCTTGTTACTTCTTGTAAGTAGCCTCTCTTGTACTTTTTATTAATTTCAAAGTTTATTAATGTACTTTGTTTATTAAAAGTTCAGAATAATTTGAATAGGATTTCCAAAAATTATTTGTCAAGGTAAGCAATTTGTTTTACGTATTTCCATATAAAGAAAAGGAAAAATATTATTAAATGCTCATTTTAACATATGTGATAGCTTAAATAATATAATGGCAAAACTTATAATGTTAGGACTTGAACTTTTTTTGTGTGATTTTTTTTCTTTCTAAAATTGGGCTTAGCAACGTAAAACTGCAGCCCTGTGGGGTGATTCCTTTCGGCTCCCATATGTCCCATTGGAATGTCTTAAACAAAGAGCACAACATATCGAAAGAGTTAACGCTGCATATATTATCAGAATAATCTAAAATCTTTCCCTGCAAAAAGAGTAGCCTTTTTAAAACT